GGTATCTGAAGGCGTGTGCCCCCCCCCCCCCCCCCCCAGGGGGTTTGGGGACACACGTGTGGCGACCGGCCGGGCCCCGGCAAAGTGCGGGAACAAGAAACGCGGCCAAGGCGTGCATCACAGTCAACCGGACGGGGCGGGGCAGGGAGGGGGGGGACCCCCCGACCGCCGTGCCCAAGAGCAACAGACCTGGCCCGCGCCGGTGATGGAACGAGGCCAATATAAAATCCCCCTTTCCCCGCCCCGGCCGGGGATTATTAGCCCCGGGAGCGTCTCGAGCTTCCACCGCACGCGGCTGCCTTCCCGGGAGCGCCGAAAGCCCGCCGTTCCCGCCCGTGTGTGCCCCCCCCCCCCATAGCTCCAGCAGCCAGAGGACCATGGCCCTGGGGCCTGGTCCCCGGAATGCCAACGGATAAACCACGCTGGCGCGGCCCCCGATACAGAACAGCATTGTGCACGAAGGGACCACATGTGGTGGCCACACTGTGTCTGATCACCAGGCCTGCGTGGCCTCCGCCGGGCCCAACGGACGACCTGCCTCCGATCGTTTGTGGGGTTCTCTGACCTGGCGTCGGGCGGCGCGTCGCAGGAGGGGTGTGTTGGGATGGGCTGCGCGGGCGGGCCCAGGCTCGCGTCAGGCCTGCCGGGGGGAGGCGGCACGTCGCCGGGTGACCGTCTGCGTCGGCCGGCTCTCCATCGGCCGGCGCGGTCGGCAGGCCTTTCGCCTTCTGCTCTCCCCCAGACGCATGTCCTCCTTTCGGGCGGGCGGGTGGGCAGGTCTGCGAGCATTGACCGGACCCCGGCCTGTGCCTGTGGCTGTTGGTCCCCCTCCCTGGCCTGGCCCCTCACAGGCTCCGGGCATTCGTCAAGAGCCCGGCACCGGTCTCCAGATCCCAGATTGGGCCTCGTTTCTCCTCCTTCTTCCCCCCCCCCCGCCCCCTCCCGGGTGTGCGCCATCACTCGGGGCGGTTTACGCAGCGGTGAGTGTCACCTATGCATGGGGTTCAGGCCGTCAAAATGCCTGACTGTGCTCGATACCCGGGTGCCGGCAGGTGCGCCGGCCGCAACCTCAAGGAGACCCAACAAGGAAGGATCGGTGTCAGATCTCGAAGCCTCATCCCCGGCGTCATGGGGCCCTGTCTTGCGGCAGTCACACGCGCCGGTATCACCTCCCGGCCACATATTGCAACACGCCCATGCCATACCGCGCCTCGCAATCGACCCTCCAGTGAGAAGCCCACCAACAGAACCGGCCCTTCGATGCTACAGGTCTCGCACCACACACGCGCAGATGCGAGGCGAGCAAGCAATTGCCAGGTATATTCAGATGTAAGAGAGAGAGAGAGAGAGAGAGAGAAAGGGGGGGAGGAGAAGGAGAGAGGCAGCACACGAGATCAACGTCAGAGCTCTCGCCGCTTGCCTCTCCTCGCCTCTTCCATGGATTGGAGGACTCCGACACAGGAGAGGGATGGACGCAGGACACACTCGCAGGCATGCTCGAGTGAGTGGCTCCGGGAGTCCTGGCCTGCTTTTTTTTGTCCAGCCCCCTCCCCGGGCCTTTCCCTGTCAACACACCGTGCATTGTCGTGCACGTGCATGCACACGCACGCACGCACGCACGCACGCACGCACGCACGCACACATGGCCAAGCGCAAATACAGGCTTAGAACTCCTGCAGGGTGGGCAGGGTGCCAGCCTGGCCACCGGCGGCCTGGACATGCTTCAGGAAGGCCTCAACCCGAGGGACGATGGCCTCCGGAACGAGACCCACCTTCTGGTAGACCTCGGTGTAGGGGGCCGACGCGCCGAAGGTGTCAATGCCCACGGTCAGGTGGGCATAGCGCGACCAGCCGATGGTGGAGCCGGCCTCGATCGACACGACCGGGGCCCCCACCCCGCCGAGGACCTCCTGACGGTAGGCCAGCGGCTGCTGGTCGAACAGCTGCGTGCAGGGCATGGACACAACACGCACGCGGAGATCGCCGCCGGGGGTGGCCGCCAGACGCTCGGCCACCTCCTCGGCCAGGGCCACCTCGGACCCGGTGGCCACGAGGGTGACCACGCGCTCGCCGGAGCCATGCTCCCCAAGCAGGTACCCGCCCTTGGCCACGGACAGGTGACAGCTGCCCTTCAGCTGGGGAAGGTTCTGCCGGGAGAGCGCCAACACCGAGGGGCCCTGGCGGAAGGACACGGCGGCCTGGTAGGCGCCGGCGGTCTCACGCACATCGGCCGGGCGAAGGGTCAGACCGCCGGGGGTGGCACGCAGCGACACCAGGGTCTCGATCGGCTGATGGGTGGGACCATCCTCACCCAGGCCAATTGAGTCGTGGGTCATGATGTAGATGACCTGGTGGTGGCTCAGGCAGGACAGGCGGTAGGCACCCTGGGCATAGCTGTGTATCCGAGGAGTGGTGGGTGGTCGCCGGGCCCGGGGGGGAGAGGGGGGGGGGGGGGGAATCAGCAGTCAGAAGGGAGGAGGGGACCGAACTTGGGCCTGGCACGCGCCCGCGACGTACCCGATGAAGTTGAGGAAGGTGGCGCAGAAGGGCAACATGCCGCCGTAGGCGTGCAGGCCATTGCAAATGGCCGCCATGGCATGCTCGCGCACGCCGAAGCGCACGTTACGCCCGGCCGGGGTGGCGGCCTGGTAGTCATGCGAGCAGTCCAAATAGTTGAGGTTGGACCCGGTGAGATCGGCCGAGCCGCCGATCAGCTCCGGCAGCACCGGCGCCAGGGCATTGATGACCATCTGCGAGGCCTTGCGCGTGGCAATGGCCGGAGTGACCCCATCAGACACCCCGTCCACGACCCCCTGGATGGCGGCCAGCCAGGCGGCCGGCAGGGTGTGGCTCGGGGTCAGGGACCCACCAGCGCCATCGCCGACCAGGCGCCGACGCGCCTCAGCCCCGAGGGCCAGGTCCGCGGCGGCCAGAGCCTCCAGGCGCTTGTTGAAGTCCGCCTCCAGGGCGGCACCGCGCTCGATGAAGCCGGCCAGCTCGGCGCGGACATCCTCCTCCACGTGGAAGGGCTTCTCGGCGTCCAGGCCGAAGAAGGACTTGACCTTGGTCAGCCCGGCGCCGCCGAGCGGGGCACCGTGGACCTTCTCGGTGCCCTGGCCGGCGGACCCGTAGCCGATGGTCGTGCGCACGCAGATGAGCGTGGGCTTGGTGGTCTCGGCCTGGCCGGCGCGGATGGCCGCCTCGATGCCGGCCAGGTCATTGTCACCATCGGCCACGGAGAGAACCTGCCAGCCATACGCCTCGAAGCGCATGCGCACATCCTCGGTGAAGGCCAGGTCGGTGGAGCCGTCGATCTGGATCTTGTTGTCATCGTACAGGACAATCAGCTTGCCGAGCTTGAGGTGGCTGACACAATTCGAGCATGGCATCGGACACACAGGGTGAGCCAGGGGTCATATCGTGGGGACCGGCAGGGTCCCCCGGGCAGCGAGGATGGGACATGGCTTGTGCATGTGTGCGCATGTGCGTACCCAGCGAGGGAGGCGGCCTCCGAGGCGACGCCCTCCTGCAGGCAACCATCGCCAACCATGACATAAGTAAAGTTATCGACCAGCTGCACATCATGCTTGTTGTAGATGGCACCGTAGTGAGACTCGGCCATGGCCAGGCCGACGGCCGCGGAGATGCCCTGGCCCAGGGGGCCGGTGGTGACCTCGACACCGGGGGTGACAAAGTTCTCCGGGTGGCCAGGGGTGCTGTGCGTGTGCGTGGGCATGGCCGTGTGATCAAGTGGGAGGGCGCGGGCGGGCGGTGGTCAGGGGCCGGAGGCTGGTGAGTATGGCAGCGCCAGGAGGAGGCCGAAGGAACGGGGGCCCCAAACGCACCGGGAGCCCAGCTGACGGAAAGCCTTCAGGTCCTCCATGGTCAGGTCGTAGCCGAACAGGTGGAGCAGCGAGTAAATCAGGGCCGAGGCGTGGCCGTTGGACAGCACGAAGCGGTCACGCCCGGCGAAGTTCGGGTTCTTCGGGTTGAACTTCAGGAACTTCTTGAACAGGACGTAGGTGGCCGGCGCGCAGCCCATCGGGGCGCCTGGGACACAGAAGGCGCCGGAGGCCGAGCGAGGGAGGTCAGCAAGAGGCCACAGGCCGGGATGGCGCACTTGGTTGGAAGGTGCGTGTGTGTGTGTGTGTGTGTGTGTGTGCCGGGCGTACCAGGGTGACCGCTGTTGGCTGCCTGGACCATCTCGGCCGACAGAACGCGGATGGTGTTGACGATCTTCCAGTCCAGGTCGGAGGACTGGGCGCGCAGCGAGGCGCCGGGGGCATCGGCAAAGGTGGTCATGGTAGTGACGGTGGTGGTAGCGGGACGGGGGGGGGGGGGGGGGGGGGGAGTAGATGGAGGGATCAACGGCGGGGCGCGAAAATCTCTCTCTGTTGTCCCCCTCCCCAGGGCGGTTGAGGCCTGACGGGCCGGGTGCATTTGAGCCTGCATCTCACGCCCCGCCTGTGGCTGTGGTGCCGTTGTGCTGAACGTGGCAGGCGCGGGCACTATCAATATTGGCACACGCTCACACGCTCACACACACACACGCACACAGACGGTCACATCCAGCCTCCTTGCGGGTGCCCCGTTCCCCGTTGCCTGGAGGGCTGTGGCGGGGGAGCCGGACAAGACAATGGCCGTGACTAGGGCTCGGTAGACGTCCATCTCCCGGGGTGGGCTCCGCCTCAAGCCCTCCACCGATCGGGGCTGACGTGGGACCTGCGCCCCGGCCCGCCTCGGCCCTCGTCCAACTCCACGGCCCGGCGCTGCGGCGGCTGCGGCCCTTCCTTGTGCTTTTTTCCCCGCTGACTGACCCTTTTGCTGGTTGGACGCGCACACACACACTCACACACACTCTCGTCATGCTGAAAGGTATCCCTCACCGGCCGGGCGAACGTGTCTCTACTCATCCGGTCTAAAACAGCCCTCCCTCCAGAGAGGAGCCACCCCCGCGTCCACTTCCACTTCCACTTCCACTTCCATGCACATATTCGGGTCTGGGCGGCGGTCCCAGCGCACTGGTTCCCCCTCCGCGCACGGCGCGACCCCTGGCACTTATCGTGGGACCGGGAGCCGATTTTCCCAGCCACCTCTCGCAGGCCAGGGAGGCTGGTCCGGTTGGCGCGTCAGGCCTCTGGAACGTTCCCTTCCCACGGCAATGCTGCCAACGCACAGGAATCTCGTAGGCAACTGTTGTCACACCGCAAAGGGTGCCCCACATTGGGGGCCGGGATTCATTACATCTACTATACACAAGGACGGGTGCGGGGAATGGGAAACGGCGGGCGAACTGAGGAGAGAGATAGAGAGAGAGGGGGAGGAAGAGACCATGGGAGAGAGGGGGGGGGGGAGAGGGAGAGAGGGAGGGAGGGAGGGGGAGAGGGAGAGAGGGGGAAACCCTTGTTGGCTCCCCTTGTGTCGATCGAGAATGGGCCTCAGCCTGTCGCCCTGGTCCTCGCTGACCGGCTAGTGGTCCGGTGGCCGGCGGGCCTGTGCCCGCCGAAAAAAGGCACTGTACGAGAGGGACATCTTGGTCAGGACCACGGGCTGACCATCGAGGGTGATGGACGAGGCCGGGCAGTCGCGATGATGAGAGGTCCCAGGAGCATTGGCGGGGCTGATCGGAGCCGGGTGCCGGGCCGACACCGACGAGTACAAAGCTGCCCCAGTCAGCGGGCAGTACTGGACACTTGCTAGCGGGCCGGTTGGCTGGCTGGGATCCGATGCCGCGGGGGACGTGCCGCCCGGCAGCCCCTCAGAGACCGAGGAGGCAGCCTTATTGCACACTGGCGGCGGGGGGTCTTGCACGCGCGCCTGTGGGATCTGGCGTTGGCGCCTCGCCGCCCTGAGAGCCGGTGTCCGATCCGAGGAGGGGGAGAAGGACGGCCGTGGCGAGGATGGCGGCGAGGATGGCGGCGAGAGAGTTGGTGAGGAGGAGGTAGTTTTGGCAGTGGCAGCTGCGGCGGCAACCGCACCGGCCGGCATCTCCAGGGCATCTGAATAGGTGTCCATGTCGTCTGAGTGGGGTTCCCTGGCATTACCGTTTGTCTTTGCATCAGCTGACAACAGGGCGATGGCCACAGGTTCGGCGATGTATCGATGACACAAAAGGAAGGGGAGAATGAAAAGGATGGAGGATCAGTATGCATGTGTGTGTGTGTGTGTGTGTGTGTGTGTGCGAGCGCGCGGGACAGGGGATGTTGCTGGTGGAGTCCAAACGCACTTGAAGGCAGTTGCCCAACAGGCTGCTCTGCCGCAAGCTGGGCATCTGTCTTGAGAGATGATGTGGTCGATGTCAACGGTGGCAAGGTCGACTGCGTGGTATCTGAAGTTGGGCCGAGATGGGCATTGGCCGGCGCCGGGGCGTCTTGCCCACAGCCCGTTGCCGGAGCATGTTGAACGGCATCCACCTTTGGAGGGCAGGGGCCAGCACCCGACAGCAGGGCACCCGGGTCAGCACCCGGGGCGACGACACGCTGGGTCCCATCCGACACTGGAATATGCCGGGACTCACGCGGAGCCCGGACACCCCGAGCACTCGCCCCGGTGGGAGCCTCCTTCGGCCGCCCGGGGGCCGGGGGATCCTGCTTGACGCCGGCCGGGCCATTTGGTGTCCTTTCGGAATCGAGCGCCATGGCTTGGCCGGCCGGTGCCGGCTCGTCGCCACTCCCGGACATTCCGGCCGTCGGGACGTCCCGGTGCAAGGAAGACAGCCGCGCCTGCTGAGCAAGGGCATCGGTGATGGCGGATCCCCGGGTCGCGAATCCTTGGGATGCCACGCCCAGTGGCGAGCTCGATGCCGAGGGAGGCACCATGGTCGCGCCTTTCATCCCTCCCAGCAAGGCCTTGGTCGGCGACATGCTCTCCCGGATGGCGGGATACGTGGCAGCCGGACCGCCATCACCCGGACCGGCATCCACATCGGGCTTCGAACGGGGACCGGCCACCGGACCCTCGGAAGCACCGGTGGCCGGCGACAAACCGGGACCTTGGGCAGATTCAGCATCAGCCATTTCAAGTGACGCAGACACGCCCCCGCGGCCGCCGGCTTCGGGCGGCGGCACAGGCAGCAATCCCTTTGCCCCCACATCCATGGGCCTGTCCGACTGGGGCATTTGCTCATCCTGCCTCTCGGCCGGGGAGGTCTTCGACTTGAACGACATATCGCGCCCTGATCCGACCGCCTCAGAAGCAGCGCCGGGAGCCCCCACCGGAGGCGCCGTCCCATCCAGCGGGGCGGTGGTGGTCACGGGAATGTTCCGCTCCTTGTGCGTGGAGTACCATGCCCGGCTGTCGCTCAGGTAGGCCGTCCAATAGGTGCTCGGGTCATCGGCATGGGTCTGGAAGAAGCGCAATGCCAAGCGCGCAATGATCGGATCAATCTGCAGGAAAATGCTGACATTACTGAAGTACTGGCAAAACACCGGGATGGTCCACTCTTTCAGGGTGGATTCCAAGAGGGCTCGATCCTCCGGGACCATCGCATCCAGGCGGTCCAGGCCGGTGGTCGCCAGTCGCAGGGGGCCCAATCGCCGGACGACCGGGTGCTCCGGATGCAAGGTCAGCAGGTGGTCCATCATGCCGAAGATGCACGCGTCATTGACCTGGGCCCGGTCGGTGTCCCCCACCCCGGGGGCCAGCTCCACCTCCGGCTGGATCAGGTCCAAGGGGGAACACACGATCGATCGACACAGCTTACAATAGAGGGCCCGATGGATGGGCAGAATCCAACAGGCATCCGCCGGGAAGCTGGACGGCCGGCAGCTGGCCAGCGGTGAGTACTGTTCCAAGAGGCTGGCCAATTGCTGCTGCTTTTCCTGATGCCGCTTCAGGTGCTGTGCGTCCATGTGCGGGTCATCGAGAACCGGATACCCCTGGGCCACGTGCTCCAATGCAATGCGCAGGTCCGCCGGGCTGGACAGACGCCGGGCAGCATCAACCACTACCCGGCGAAGGACCTGGGCAATGTGTTCTTCCTGGTCCCACAACTGCGAGACATTGGACGTGATCTTGCCCCCGGCCAGGGTTTTCATGGAGTTGCTCATCGCATCGTCTCGCAGACATTGGCGAGCCCGGGACAGGAGGTCTGCCTGGCGCGGGCCGATCGGCGTGGTGGGCAATGTCCTCGGCGGGCTGGCCAAGATGTGCGCCGGGTCCAGCAGCTGGCTCGACAGGTGGAAGAAGGGGTTCTCCGGGTGCGTGGCCCGGACCACCGCGTGAATGGGATCGTACGAGAAGCCAAGGAGATGCCAGATTTCTGGGCATTTCCCATTCGCTCACAGGTAAGCCGAAGGGTGACCGACAAGAATGGCGAACCCCCCCCCCCCCCAAGAAAAAAAGACACACACACAGATGCACAAAGAAAGCAAGAAAGCGGAAAGAAAGAAAGAAGAAGCATGCTTGCAAGTGCGCACCCGAGTCGGAAAACATGAAAAGCGGATTGTTGTGGTTCTTGTTGGCGCGTTTGGAGCGCGACCGACGGTCCCGGCGCCGATGGGTGACACCGGAGTGGGAGGAACTATCGGAGCCGCTGGACCGGCTGGCGGAGGTGAGGTCCCCATCATCGGTCTCCAGCAGAGGGGTGCACCCTCGGGAGCGTTTGGCACATGGGGATTGCGGGATGCTCGGTGGAGCTGTGTAATTGGTCAGGCGGAGGGGGCAGACCCGGTGGCAGGGCAATGGCCGAGGAGTACGCACCAGGGCTGGCGGCCGCTCGCCCAAGCGATCGATCCTGAGTGGGGCGGTTGGGCATGCCATCCATGGCCGGGGGGAGGTCACCCGAGGGGGAGCGCTGTCGCTGTTGCTGCTGGTGGAGGGGGGCTGGGAGGTGCTCCCCGGCGGCTGCAATTTCGCGAGCATGACGCATTGCCTGCCGATGCCGGCGCACCTGCTCGCGCTGTTGCTCGCGTTGCTCCCACTTGAGCTGGTCCTGTTGCTGCTGCAATAGGCGCTGCTGGTGCTGCTCATGTTGTTGTTCTTGCTGTTGCTCACGTTGCCGCTGCTCCAGCTGCAGCCGCTGCTTCAAGGCCGGGAGTGATGTCTGCCCCTTGGCGATGTACGACGGGCCAACCTGCAGGGAAAGAGTGGTCCTCTTCGGGGGGGCCGGAGGGGCCGCAGAGGCTGCCGGGCGCGCCTCCACAGGCGCAGCACCAACAGGATCAGCGTGAGGCGTTCGCCCGGGAAAATCCAACGCCGAGGGAGTGTCATTCTGGGGGGAGCTCGACTGGAAGCCGGGACCTCTGCTGGCCGATGGCGCCAAGGGGACGGTACTCGGCATGCCCCGGCCCCCGGCAAAAGAGCCGACCTCGCTTGGGGAGCGCGCAGCAGAGGGCGTCTGAGCGGCAGAGTAGGGGGCGACACCCATGATGCCGTTGCCCTGGGCAAACCGCTGGCCATTGGGGACAGCTCCCGCCATGGCAGGCACCGGGGCCGAAGGGAGCGTGGAAGGCACCAAGTGAGAGTGGTAGTTCGGATGGATGGGAGCCAGGGGAGTGGACAGGAGGGATGACGGTTGCCGCGCTGCGCCTGTTAAATCATAGGCGCCGGAATTGCCCAGCAACAGGGCCATCAGGCTGTCCTGATGGCATGTGCTAAGGTACTCATTGTTGGACAAGTGCGGACGCGGCTGAGTCCCGTAGATGCTGGTCGACTGCTCGATGTACTGTTGGATGGAGCTGAACTGCTGTTGTAGGAGATTTTGCAAGTGGAGTTGCTGTTGCTGCTGGCTTTGCTGTTGCCGCTGCTGCTGCTGCTGAAGCGCTTGCAGCTGGCGAAGCTGGGACTCGACCGAGGGCTGCTGCAGTGGATCTAGGTGCGTCTGCTGCTGCTGCTGCTGCTTCAGATGCAGGTGTTGCCGCTGTTGGAGTTGCTGCTGAAGCTGGAGCTGCTGCTGCTGGATCTGATATTGAAGCTGCTGCTCGATCGTCGGTTGCATGTGCGTGGTTATGGATGGTTGCTGCTGCTGCTGCTGCGGTTGTTGTTGTTGTTGTTGCTGTTGTTGCTGTTGTGCCGATGAATGGTGTTGCGGCTGCTGGTGTTGCTGCTGCTGCTGATGGAGGGGTAGGCTCGAGCCAGAGGCAGAGTGTCCATTGGGGAGAGACATGCTGCTTGGGCGTGTAGGAGAAGAGAATGCCGCGCCAGGAAATGCCCCTCTCTCCTGGGTTACGCAGGAGGGAGGAAGTGGGCCAGGGCAAAGGGAGAGAGAGAGAGAGGGGGGGGGAGAAGGGGGCAGAAATGCCGAAGGGCGGGGGAGAGGGGGGCAGAGGGAGACGGAGGCAGAGGGGGAGAGAGAGGGGGGGAGAGCCAAAAAAAAGGGGGGAAAGGGGAGAGGGATACAGAAGCAGCCCCGGGGAATTTGCACCGCACGGGTGTCCCAAAAGCATCTATAACGGTGGGTTTGCCCATCTGCAAGGCGCCGGGGCTGAGACACACCAGGCGTGGGTTCATGCCCGGTGAGGTCCTGTTCAGGCCTGTTGGCCGGCGGTTTCCCCCAGG